AAGTTAAAGATCAATGTATTGAGAATATAGCATTGAAATTTTAGCATGATCCAATGCTTAATGAATTATCTAGAGGCCTTGCACTGTAGCTGGAAAATAGAAGTCTTATACCAGATAGGGTTTTTGTTTTGATAGTATCTCTCGCTACAGACCTAATTTCAACAATCCGACCATTGTATTTGAAGATCAATATATTGTGAGGGTACCAAATTAGGGCGTTGTAAGGTGTCTAACACCTTCCCAATGAATTATCTAGAGGCCTTGCACTGTAGCTGGAAAATAGAAGTCTTATACCAGATAGGGTTTTTGTTTTGATAGTATCTCTCGCTACAGACCTAATTTCAACAATCCGACCATTGTATTTGAAGATCAATATATTGTGAGGGTACCAAATTAGGGCGTTGTAAGGTGTCTAACACCTGCCCTACACGTAACTGACCGCTGAACCTAATTATAGCTATGAAGGCCATTATTAAATTTTGAAAACCTTTTATTTTTCTGACATTTTGAGTAAAATTTCGGTGGAGACTCCTTCGAACCTTTTTCAAAAATCGTTGGTTAGGGATTAGTCTGGTCTCTGGGCATTCCCTAACCGATGAGATTTTCAAACAAAAGTCCAAACAAGATTGTATCTATCTTTCATCGTGTAAGTCATCTTTCACAATATGTATAGAGTATTTACCTATCTTACCTATACCTCTAATAATTCCTTTGTCACTATCTCCAAAAAAGATTGATCCTTCATGAGGTTGGAGATCTAGGAGCATAGATTTTTCACTCATCATGTGTTGTGAACAACACTATCTAGGTACTAGAGTGAATCATTTCTTTTTCCCACCAAGGATATCTACAAGACTTTGCATTTTTCTTTAATTCTTTTGTACTCAAGAGAGATCATGTGAGACTTAGCAAAAAAAAATTCATAAGACATGTCTTCCTCGTCAAAATTTTCAGAAGAACAAGAACAAGAGTCAAAGGTTAACTCCAATTTTGTATTGTCTACATCTGGCATATGAAAAATATTGGCTTTTTCTTCATTTGAATTATTGTTGCTACTATTGTCCATATCTTTCCAAGTGGCCATCAAACTTTTCTTGGCCTCCTTTCGGCTAGTACATTGAGGACATTCAACTTTCATTTGTCCATGCTTCTTGCACTAGTAGTAGATAACCTCTTTTTCATCATCTTGAAAGGGTTTCTTGAGTCTATCCTTCTTCTTGTGGAAGCGACATGAGTGATATCTCATGGTTTGTTAAGTTTTCAAAACTGCCATCTGAGTTATTCCACTTTTAAAGTTTTTCCTTTTTCTCTTCTCTTGCTTCATTCATTGGTTCTTAGAGCAACAAGGTCATTTGTCTTAAGCTTCATTCAAAACTGTCTTAAGCTTTTGACATCATGGTGGCCTTTGGTTCCCAAATCTTTGGAAGACTATTTGAGATCCTGAGATTATTCTTAGATTTGGTGAACTCAGTTCTTAAGGATTTTAGACCATTAAGAATTATTTGGAATCTTCCAAACATTTCATTGATAGTTCCATTCTCCTTCATAAATAAATAAAAACTTATAGTGCACTCAAAAGTCCATCAAGAGCAACAGAGTCATTTGTCTTTAGATGTTCTTTGTTGTTCAAGTGAACCTCATGAACTCTTAGTGCACTCAAAAGTTCATCAAGAGTAAGAGCTTTGAGCCACAAGCTTTTGATATCATGGTGGCCTTTGGTTCCCAAATCTTTGGAAGACTATCCAAGATCTTGAGATTATTCTTAGCTTTGGTGAACTCAATTTCTGAAGAGTAGCATCTCGTTTGACCCTAACATCTTCGATATCCTCATGAGTTACCTTGATAGCTTCCTACATATCCTTAGCAGTGTTGCAACTATAAAATTTGTTATATTCTATTACGGATAAGGAGCAAGCCAAGATGTATCTTGCTTTGGTGTTGAGTTGCAAAGTGTTGTAGTCCTCCTACATGTACTCGCTTTTAACTTTCTTAACTTCAACATCAACTCTTGTGATGATTCTCCAGAGTTGATATTAGGTGGATTTAATGAATATTTCCATTTTATCCTTCCAATATGGGTAGTCTTCTTCATTAAAGGTTGGATGCCTTGTAATAGAAGCTCCTTTTGGCAGGTATTGACCTTTATTGCTTCCCATCTCAAGATTTCTTCCTTTAACACTGTTAGATGCTCAACTTCGTTAAAGGTTGAGTTTTGATGCCAAATTATGGGGAAAAAAGAGACTCTAGAAGGGGGTTGAATAGTGTCACTCAAAAACTCACATTTTTTTGCAAAACAACAAGGTAATAACATTGCAGTAAGGAGTGCAAATGAAAAGGTAAACAGTCAAAACATAAGGTGTTTTATACTGATTCGTTTGAACTAAGGAGACTACATCCATTTCTTGATCCAACCAAATCAAGTTACACTATCTTATCTAATAAACAAGTATTCCTTACCAAGCCACTTTTGGCTCAACCCTAAGTGTTCTTTAACATGCCTCTTCAAGAAACTACCAAAATATTCTTTTACACAAAGCCTCTCTAGGATTCAATACCGAGTATTCTTTTATAGACAAGTCTCTTAAGACTCAAACTCGAGTATTCTATTATAGATAAGTCACTCCACACTAAAACCCAATAACTCAAAGTTACAAAAGTCTACAAAATTGTTTCGTCTTCCTTTCAAGATGCGACATAACAAGTTAAGTACAAAGACTTTTATTTTAGAAAGAATATGACTTTTTACAATTGATTTTTCTTTTGTATATGAATTTTTAATCACATCATGATCTTTTTTTATGAGCTTCAAACTTCCTTTTATAGTACTTAAGTGAAGATGACTATTGCAAATCGTTGAGCTTCTTTCGCATGGCTTGCTTTGTTTGTCTTCATGATTTGATTCTTGAGAAGAGAACTACATGTTGGTATAATAAATGTTTACATTAAATGCTTTCACCAAATTGTCACTTCTTATTTGATCGAATAAGCTACTTATCACCTTTTGGGTACTAAGTGGGTAGAACCATGTGTGTTTCAGGATGTTGCACTGATGAAACAACTTTTAATTACAATTTTCCATGTTTACAAAGATTTTCTTGTCCTTTTCTTACGCAAAGCATGTCTTTCTTTATTTTGTATAGAATGTTGGTATTGAGAAAGGATTTTAAATTTGATTTATTAAGGAAATATTCAAACATGGTCAATTTCTTGTTTAGAGATCATAATGATAAAGATTTAATACATATTTCTTTTTATGACTGAGGCTTCATCTTAGTCTGTAACATAAATGCCTTACTATGTCTTTTGTCTTACACGAAGATTCATTTTGTTGCGTCTTAGTAGAAGATTCGTCTTAGTCATTTTGAAAACTTATACTTCTAATAAAAAACTTCTTTATTTGTTAATAGCAAAACTTAAAATCAGAGGGATCTAAAATTTTTTTTTGACCTAACAACAGGTTTAAATCTTCCATGACCAAACGAAGGTCAATGGGTTCAAATCTACCTTAATTCAATTAAGCCACGTAGGAGTAGATCTTCCGCAATGCAAGGGAGGTTGTGTGAGTTTGAATCTATCTTAACAGAGCATGGATCTACAATAACAAATATATTTTGGAACAAAGTACAAGTTTGTAGCAACAAAGGTGTGAGTGCATCCAGCTTTGGTGCATGGTTTCTATAACCAAGTTTGAGGTCGCCAAACACTTTCAATTAACTAATGATATCAAGAAATGGAATTTCAACATAATGTATGCATGGTGGCTAGTGATGCTTTGGTGGTAGTTGATGACGCTTCAATGTGGTCAACACCATTTCAATGATGTTCAAAAGTAAGGGTTGTTAAGAAGTGAAAAAGACAAAAAATATTCTTCTTTGGAGAATGTACCTTAAACTCAAAGTAATTCTTGTAATTCAAGAATTGACAAACTAAAATTAAGGTAAATTTAAAAGGCTAGAAGTTCATGAAAATTTTCTAGAATGACACTAGACTAGATTACATAATCAAGAAAATTGACTCAAGTTTACTTCATGTTATGTATTGACGACATATTTTGAATATTTTTGGTAAATATTTTTAATCAAGTTTCACTAATTTTTTAAATCAAAACTAATGCACTTTTTCTTGCATCTTTTTATACACTTTTTTTTCTTTTGGAGCAATGTGACTTTTTTTTAACCAAATATTTGTGACAAAGATTCCAAAAGAATAAAACTCAAAATTGCATAAGTAAACTACTCAATTTTGAACTAGAATTGGTGAGTTTAGGTATTTTATTTTATTCACACTTTTGGACCAAATAATTTGCACAAAGTTACAAGTCCAATACATAATGTTACTGCACAATTTGAATTTCAAATTCACCTCACCAAATCAAATCCAAATTTTAGTGCAAAGAATGCAAGAAATTCAAAGAAATTTCAAGGCAACTTTAAGACAAATTGGAAAAACTAACTCTAGGAGCATGTTGATGATCTAATAACATGCATGATCTCAAAGCTCATAACAAGAAAATGCTTAAAAGCTCTCGGCCAAATGGTAATATTAAGCAAAAAATATGGAACAACAAATTAAAAGTCACACCAAGAATCATTTAACAATTAAGAACTAAACATGACTCTAAACAACTTGATTCGTGAATTCAAAAAGTAAAACGTAAGATACTGAAATATGAAATATCCCATCATGATTACTCCATGGAGGCAAATCTTTCAAAGAAAAACGCAATTGCTCCAGAGAAGTGAAAAGAAGCAAAGGCAAAAACTTTCAGAGAAAAACGTAAGATACTGATTGCTCCATTGAAGTGCGGAAAACGAATGGAAAAATGGGCAATAAATAATACGTAATTAACTAGTTTCACGTAAACGATGTGGAATTACAAATGAATCACACATGCTGTCATAAACGAACTGATTAATAAGAACTCCCGTAGAAAAAAAAAAAAAAAAAAAGGATCATACATTGCACAACGAAACAAAACAATCATAAATAAATTATAGTTTTATTCCTCCAAAGAAAAGAAAACTAAATTAACAGAAGTGAGAATTCAGTTTTGTAAATTTAAAACACACTATTTCTTTGTATATTCAATTATGTTATTGCGTTCATTTGCGTGCTTAATCCTTTCTTTCAGTATGTTAACGGCTTTGGATATAACACGGTAAAAGCATGACATTAACAGCAATCTACCTAACCTAAAATAATTACATCCTAAATTCCTAAAGCTATATGTATACACACGTGTTGCAAATAAGCATCTTGAAGCCGACTAAATCCACAGTTGAGAAGTCCATATCCTGCTACCAAATTATGCATACCAAGGTGATTGTCATTCTTTGAATGACTAGTGACTGAAATCTGGCCACAAGCCCACAATTGGTCTGTGATGCTAATGAGTGAGGGGAAGCTTATGTCAGTCTGAATGGTTAAGAAAACCAGAATGCAAAGAAGGCCAATGGCAGGAAACTATCGAAATAGTTCTGGAAAGGACCACATTATGAATCTAGCAAAAATATCAGACTCCAGAAACTCAATATGAGCTGCCCGCCCAATTAAAGCGTTTAAATTCTTGCCATAGGCAGTGGCATCAAAATTGACATCACAACGCATGAAAACTCGACGTTCAGAGGGATTGGCACGGATTTGGTCCAAACAATCGTTCAGCATCTCTAGGAACACTCTACCCTTCTTTGAATGGTCATGTGAAGCAGCCAGGCATGATTGAATTCTAGCTGAATGGTAAGGCACATAACCATCCTGTATAAAAACATAATCATTAGGCAGCACCAATGTTGTCAAAGGGAAAGAGGATTTACTTGACTAAGAAATATAATCCCTTATACATACTCTTCCTTAAATATCTCAAGGCCCCCCAATTACTCTCAGAATTTTTTTTTGTTTTCATATATAGTATTTACTTTTAATTACAAAATTATTTACTTACTTCAATTTTATTTTTTATTGTCAAAGATTTATCTTTGAAAACAAAAACAAAAGGTGAAAAATAGAGTGACATTTTTGCAATCAAGTGAATAGAAAACATTTTCTCAAACCAAACAATCCGTTAGTATTTCAATTCATCTCAATTAGGAAAGACATAATACTCCCAACATTTCAAAATCTTGCTACTCTAGCATATAGTTCTAACAAAAAAGAAAATCCCAGAAACCTTGTTAGTTTTCTATTGGATTTATTTCACATGCACCATGATCATAAGACACGTAAAATTTATTATGTAATAGATGATCAAGCTTTACTTGCATTTATACATATGATAAAGTCCCCATATATTAAGTCCAATTTAAACCCCATATTATACCAAGATGCTAATGTATATTCACTGTTAAGTGACAGTAAAAAGCATTTCTATAAATGATTTTTAAAGAGTCATAAGATGGGATAACCTGAGGGGAAGATAGCAAGATAATATGCCTAAAATGATCCAAGGTCTTCTGCTGAAAAAGAAGAAAGAGAGAAATATAAAAGAAATGTTAGAATCTCATACAATTAAATTGATTATAATATATGAATGGTCCACGCCTTTGAGGGGAAAAAAGCATGCTCCTCTCCAGCTTTGGGACTTTTGCAAACAAAACTCCCAACTTTCAATTTAAAACACACAAATATAAACATTGTGTTAGTCACTTCCATCCATTTTTTATGCCAATGCATCTTTGCCACAACACTTGCTTTATATATTTTCCATCCAGTAATGTATTCATCCAATTTATTTTCCAACCAATAATATTTTGGTAGAATTTTGGTAAAAATAGCCATTCAACATTAACAGATTAACTTCTGAAACATTATGCAATACATGACCCTGGTTGTCAAAATGAAAGTTTATACAAAGGTATCCTTTATATAACATTCCAATTACATGGAAAAGGGAAAACGTGGTACTTTTTTTTTTCAAAGAAAATTACCATTGGTTTTAGAAATCATTATGCTGACTATAGCCAGTTTTTTAAAATCGCATCAAATGTTATTTGTCATTTTCAAATACAAGTAAACATAACTTAATCAAATAAGTTGGATTTAATATTCAAATAGCTAAGCAAAGTTTAGCATAATAAATGCTTATTATATAACAGTTGTTGGTAACAACAACAACCAATAATCACATATACAATTAAGTTATTCAAGAGAGACTTCAAGCTTGTTATTTAATTCCAATATTTGTACACCTTCCTTACCTTACACAGTTTATAGATGAATGTATTTTGAATATCCGGATCATCAGTGAAGGTGAGTTGATGAATACATTGTGTGCCACGTAGTTTCTTCAAAAGCCACAATCCAGAATTAAACAAAGAGTTTGAACTGTAAAGATACCCCAAGTGGGGACCAGATACCGAAACATATGTATATAGATATCTTAGAAAGGGCTCCATCATGCTCTCTGCATATATACATAGGTAGGATAAAATTTAGCCCCATAATTTCAAACATATGAACACCCATCACTTCCAAAATTTTATGGCATACCTGCTAGTGCTGCTCTTATAATGAGGTTACCAATAGAATGCCCAGCAAAACTTAGCTTAATATCTCCTAGATTCCCATATCTTGAGGCTTTGTCCATTTTCCTTTTAACAAAAGAAATAACTTCCTTAGCTAGCCGTTGACCCATTTCTCTAAAGTCTCCTGATGTTTTATCTTCATTAGCCTCGGACATAAGACATTCTACCTTCGGATCTATCAAAAGCCATTGATTTCGTATAAGCCGTAGATCCAGATGATGCCCCTATAACATTTTAAGTGATGAAGAATAAGCATTCAACCAATCAAAAAAAAAAAAAACAAGATACCTGACAAATTTATTTCATTTTGGTATGAAAGGAAATAGAAAATTTTGCATGGATTAAAAAGGTATCACAGTTTAAGGCAGCTCAACATTGTTAATAAAATCAGCCCGATTATTAGCTTCCCGATTATCAGCATCTTTTAATATTTAAAACAGCTCTTATAATCACTTCTCAATTCCTAATATATTCCTGATTTCCTGTATTTATTTCATTAATTGTACAATTTTGTATAGCCATAAATCAGGGATTGCAGTAATTAAATATGGGCAGTTATAGTTGTATTATTTAAATGAGAATTTACTCCTCTAGAAGGGGCATTCAGTCAAAAATCTGTTATGGTACCAGAGCTCTTGCTTTTTGTTAAAACCAGAACATAAAACATATGTGTATTGCTAAACACAAATATAATAGGCTGAAATTATAAAATTTGCAACTTCATACATACAAAAGGGTGCAAAAACTGATATTATATATATTTTGAGTTATGCACTTAGTTTTGCACACAATGAAAGTGTTATAACAAGTATTTAAATATTAAAACTAACTATTCCTGATTAGGTAAAGCTAAAAGCAAATTATAACTAAGCTAGCAAGCAAAATTGTTTGCCAACACAACTTAATTTTTCTTAACATAAATAACTTTAACCAAACTTACAAATAAAATAAAAAACTGCAGAGTTTAAAATATTTAAATGATAGTTGAAAATTCTCAATTGCCAACACTCCTTGAGATTTTTTCAATACTTCAAGCTTTCATCTCAATTATTATTCACACTTGGACTACCTTCAAGTAGACAAACATCATCAAATTTAATATCTCCAAGTTTAACATTGATTTTATTCTTAGAAATAAGAATCCTTACAATTTCCTTAATCCACCTTCCATATTAAAAGACCTTTCGCATGAGAGTTGCAACAACATTATCAACATTGTTCTCCTTTACAAAACTTACTATTGAATTGATAAGTATAATAATTCCAACTAAATTTTGCCAATCAAAAAACTTATCTCTTCTATTGGCCAAAGTCATAACCATGATTATTGTAGCTTTCATGACCCATAAAAAGGGATTCCATTTAAATCCTAAAAACTTCAAAGACTTTGTCTCCTTCTCCTCATATTTATTATGCCCAAAGATGGACACCTTCTCTTGAGTACCTTCTGCGTAAGCCCATTTGAATTGCATTTTAAAGTTTGAAATACCTCCTCAAGTGACCCATTTTTCAAATCCTCATCTTTCTTTAAAATAGAAGGTGTGGAGTTTTTCTTCCACTCTATTGAAAAACTTTTATCTCCAATTTTAATAGACATAAACTCACTTGAAAGGGTTAAATATGGTGCACCGCATATTATTAGAACATAGAATAATTCTTTTCTAACATTTGTCCCACACTCAAAAGGCTTTGATTAATTTTAGGCACAAATAAAACATTTAAATATATTTGATAACCGAAGGAGTTTCAACTTTCAACAACTCCTTTACCTTTGACATCATCAACACTTTTTCCATTGCCTATGGTGACTTTGGAGATGTGGGCCTAATTTAATTCCTTGAAAATGATCATGAGTAATAGATTTGTGCATCCACTATCTATTAGCCATACCTTCTTACTATTGCTTGTGGAATAACAAGTAGCAACAAATAATGTTCCTTATACTATTCTTCATGCTTAGCAATTTGTGCTTGATGTTCCTGTGGGACTTGCTTTATTTTTACAAACCTGCTCCACATAATCAACCAGATTGTAGACCCTACATTTGATGCTTGGCCTAAACCAACAAAAATCTTCGATATATTGTTCTTCTTATAGTTGGGGAAAGGTGAACACTTGTTTTCCCAACCTTTGTCTTTGTTGCCTTCTTGTTTTTTGCCTTTTGAGTAACCCACAAAAGCACCTTCAGTATTTTCCTCCATCCTCAAAAGAACTTCTCTGTTTTGTAGCTTGCAAAGCATTCACAAGAGAAGATTTTAGATTCAAACCTTTCTGGAAAACACCAAGATTTTATCTACAATACCTTGATCCCTAAGCTTTTCACCAAGTAATTTGAATTGTGTAACAACCTTCAAAAGTGTGTCAATAAAATCTTTGACAAATTCACTTGCTTTCATATTTACTATTGCAAACTCTCTCCTTAGGTTTAGCACTAGCATTCTTTTTGTTCTTTCACTCCCTTGGAACTCCTTCAATTTATCTCATGTGTCTTTTGCAATTTCAAGAATTAGAATCTTGATAAATACATCATCAAGTAGTGTTACTTGTATAATGGCAAGAGTTCTTTTTTTTTTTTGCCACTTGATTACTATGACTCCTGATATGAGCTACTATTGGGTTTTCTAGTAATGTAGGTGGATTACTTCCATTATCCACTATAACCAACAAACATTGAGCTTTGAAATAAGTTCTCATTTTCACAGCACACAAGTGATGGTTTTCACATGTAAATAACGAAGTCGACGTAAAGAACTATTGTTGGAAGCATTTTTTGTGTTTGAAGGTTATTTTGTATGAGTTTTCTTGTTGGTTTCCTCTCCCTTTTTTTCTCCCTCAAAAACCCCCCAAAAATCAATATAGCTCTTGATACCATGTTGAAAACAGGACATAAAAGAGAGTTGTATGATTAAGAAAAAATATAACAAGCTGATATTATAAAACCTACAACTTTACATGATAGTTAGGGAAACATGTCCATCAGTCCTATAAATCTAGTGTCAATAAATGTGTTGTGTCACCTTTTACTTTTAGTTCACTCTGATATTTGGGAACCTAGTCAAGTTAGTTCAACTCTAGGTTATTCTAATTTTGTTACGTTTATTGATAATTTTTCAGGTTGTACTGGGGTTTTTCTTAATAAAACATCATTCTGATGTTTACAATATTTTTCAAAGTTTTTCCATTGAAATTGCTATTCAGTTTGGGATGTCAATTAAAGTTTTGCGCACTAATAATACTAAAGAATATTTGTCTTCCAAATTTCAGTCTTTTCTCTCCTCACAAGGTATTCTTCATCAAATCTCTTGGGCCTATACACCACAACAAAATGATGTTGTTGAGCACAACAATCATCATTTAGTTGAAACAGCTCATACTCTTCTCCTTCATCATAAAGTTCCATTTCACTTTTGGAGCAATGTGATCCTCACTACATGTTACTTGATTAATCGCATGCCCTCCTATGCTCTCAACAATCATATTCCATACACCATCTTGTATCTACAACATGACCTCTATCCTGTCCAACTTCGAGTCTTTGAATGTACATATTTTGTCCATGATCTCACCCCAGTAAGAGATAAACTATCTGCACGATCTCTTAAGTGTCTATTTTGGGTATTCTCATCTCCAGAAAGGATATCGTTGCTTTTGCCCACAACTTCAACGATACCTTGTTTCAACTAACATCTTTCTATGAGTCCTCTCTTTTCTTCTCTAAGGATGCTAACAATCATCCTCCTCTGGATGTTCAACCAGATATTCCAACTTCAATTGTAGTCGCTGATCAACCACCATTACTTGTTTATTAGCAAAGGACACAACATCCATAGGTGGTTCCACATACACGTCCTTCTGCATCATCTCCTGCTCCAAACAGTCATCCGACAGCGCTCCCTGCACTTGAACCTCCTTTACCTGAGCTTATCATTTTTATTCACAAAGGTATTCGATCTTACCCATAATCCTAATCCTTCATATGCATGTACTCTTTCTTGTCATAGATTGTCTCATTCCTATTTTTCTTTTGTTTCCTCTTTGGATTTTGTTGCTATTCCTAGGTCTACAGGTGAAGCTATGGCTGATTCTAGGTGGAGACAGCAATGTTGGATGAAATAGATGCTTTATAGACCAGTGGCACATGGGAATTGGTGTCTTTGCCTCCTAACAAGTCTACAAATGGTTGTCGATAGGTGTACACTGTGAAGGTTGCACCGGATGGTAGTATTGATCGCTTTAAAGTACGGTTGATTACCAAGGGTTATACTCAGATCTATGGTCTTGATTATGGGGATACTTTTCTCCTCTAGCCAATGACTTCTGTTCGTTGTTTCTTGCTATGGCAACCATTCGTCATTGGCCATTGCACCAGTTGGATATTAAAAATGCATTTTTAAATGGTGAATTGCACAAAGAGGTTTATATGGACCAACCCCCTTGACTTTTACTACTTTTGATGAATCTCACCTTGTATGTCACCTTCATCGTTCTATTTATGGCTTGAAACAATCTCCTCATGCCTGGTTTGGTCACTTCATTTCGGCCTTAACTGAGTTCGATTTGACTCAATGTGAGGCTAACCACTTTGTTTTCTTCCTTCACCTCTCATCTGGTCTTTGCACTTACATAGTGGTATATGTTGATGACATTGTCATTATTGGTAATGACTTTGATGGTATTTGTTGTCTCAAATCTCACCTTCAACACCAGTTTCAAATGAAAGACCTCAGCCCTCTAAAATATTTTTTGGGGGATCGAGGTTGCTCAATCTGCTTCTAGTATTGTCACTTCCTAGCGAAAATATGCTCTAGACATTCTCTCCGAGTCTGATATGGTTGATTTCCACCCTAGTGACACTCTGATGAACCCCAACGTCAAGCTTCTTATGGGTTAGGGGGAGCCATTGAATGACCTAAAAAGATATTTTAGACTCATTGGCATACTTAATTATCTAACTGCCATCAAGCCAGACATCACATTCCCAATAAGTGTGGTAAGCCAATTTATTAACGATCCTCGTGATAGCCATTGAACTACAGTCATCAGGATCCTTAGATATATCAAGAAGGCGTCGGGCTGTGGACTCCTATATGAGGACAAAGGCAATTCCAAAATCGTCTATTATTTTGATGTTGATTGGGCAGGATCACCATCCGATAAAAGGTCTACCTCTAGTTATTGTGTTTTGATTAGAGGTAACTTGATTTCGTGGAGAAGCAAAATACAGCTGCTAGATCCAGTGCGGAAGCAAAATACCATGTTATGGTAGCAATTGCGAGTGAAATTACATGGCTACAACAACTTCTCAAGCAACTTCAAATTGGAGACACTCAGGGAGCTAAACTCATCTGTGATAATCGAGCTGCTCTTCACATTGCCTCCAATCCAGTCTTCCACGAGTGAACTAAGCACATAGAAATAGACTGTCATTTTGTAAGAGAGAAAGTGCTCTCAGGAGAGATCACAACTGAGTTCGTCCACTCTAGTGACTAGTTAGCATGTGTTCACAAAATCTCTTAAAGGGCCTTAAGTTGATTACATTTGTAACAAGCTTGGTGCATATGATATATATGCTCAAACTTGAGGGGGAGTGTTAAGATATTGTGGAGATTTATTAGGGTTAATCATATCTTAGCTTATCATATCATATCATATCATCCTTATTTTTTTTTTATTATAAATAAGAGTTATGTACGCCGAAGATTTTACACACAATTCCTAAATCACAATAATGATATATTTGAGTTATGACTCAGTTTTGCACACATTGAAAGTATTAAAGCAAGTGCTTAAGTACTAAAACTAACTATCCCTGATTGGGTAAATCTAAAAACAAATTATAATTACACTAACAAGAGAACATCATTCACCTGCACAATTTACTAAAAAGCAAACATCATTTGCCTACACAACTTACTTTTATGAACATAAGCAATAATCAAAACTACAAACAAAACAAAAAATTACAGAGACTTAAAAATATTTAATTGATAGTGAAAAAATCTCAATTGCCAATACTTTTAAACCTAGACGTTTGCATTCTTCATAGTTCTTGAGTTTCAAACAAGGGGAATCCCTTGTGGTTTAACAACTCTCAGATTTTCTTTTCCTATCGATTTTTGGGACTTTAGTGATTTCTCTTGATTACTCTTTTTTTTTTCCAATCATGTCAAGAGAAAATTCCATTATTTCAGTTGGGAATTTTAGTTCAAGATGTATGTAAAAGGGAAGACATTGTGGGAGCACATTGATGGGACTAGACCAGCCCCTACAGACACCACAAAATTTCAGACAAGTGAGGCTGCCGATGCTAGTATCATATCTTGGATATTATGTTCAATAGAACCAGATATGGTGAACAACTTGAGGTCTTTTGCTGTAACAAAGGAAATGTGGGAGTATCTTAAATTGATTTATAATGAAGACAACTTTACAGTCACTTTCAGTTAGAATTAGAGTTTGGAAATCTCAGTCAAGGCAGTCTCCCCATTGAGCAGTATTATTCTGTTTTCTTGAATTTATGGAGTGAATATTCTGATATTCTTTATGCCATGGTGCCAAAGGAAGTTTTGTCAATGCTTCAATCAGTTCATGGGGAGAGTAGATGTGATCGATTTTTTGATGAAGTTGTGGCCTGAATTTGAGACTGCACGGTCTGGTTTACTAAACCAAAATTCAGTTCCATTTTTGGATGTTTGTGTTGGGGTGTTGCTAAGATAAGAATAGAGGCTAGCTACTCAAGTTGGAATGAGTTAGGAAGGGTGAATTAGAGACTGAATGTTTCTTTGGCAGCATAAGGAAGAGGAAAGAAAAAGGATCTATACAGTGCTACAGCTGCAAAGATTTAGTACACATTGTAACCAAATGTCCACAGCCATATTGTACTTATTGTAAGAAACAAGGACACATCATTCAAAAATGTCAAATTCGTCCTCAAAATAGGAAGCTAAAAGCACCGATGTTGTTAAAATCGAGTGCCAAATCATAAGGATCATCAATTTTAATGAATCTACTCCTCTATATGGTTACAATACTAGTGCAATTCAGATAGCTACCAATCCTATTTTTCATAAATGTACAAAGCATATTGAAGTTGAATGTCATTATTTTTGAGAAGTTTAAAATGACCATGTTATTCATTTTCCTCATATCTCTATAGATATTCAATGAATCAATGGCTTGCAAGTCAATTTTGGCCTTTTGGAAAAGGGATGGTTGGGGGACTATTAAGCAACATGACTTGCTCACTTATCAATATTTTAAATCTGGCCATGAAGCATGCTTTTAATTGACAATAGAATAGCAAATTAATCAAAATAGAAAACCAAGCCAACTGAATACTGAGGTTTCGATAGGTTACGTTTGCAATTTAATAGCTTGTTCAACCAAAGGGTCCAAAACTTGGCCCTCCAAAACCTTCTATATTTGATAAAATTGATATATGACTGAATTGCTTGAGAGATTAGCTCTCAGCCTTCAGATTTTATAGTGTAATCACTGTCCAGGACAATCAAATTCCTAATTCCCTATCATTCAGGGATTAGATAATGTATGTACTGGTGATACGTGCAAGTCATAAAATCCTAGTAAACAAGGAAATAGGAGCACTAATCTAGACAAATCTAAACAATTATTTTATTATTATGCCCACCAACCTCTAGGACTTTTGGTTTGCCAGCGTTTTTAAAATACAGCCAACTATTGATTCATGTTTGTTTGACCCAATCTCTATTATTAGGTTGGACAAATCCAAAAAAACTCAAGACATGTATAAAAAGCACAGTATTTCCTGTAGCCAAAATTGCACAAGTGCAAGACTTGCCTGAAACCCATGCACAAAGACAACAATCTTCAATACACGAGTACTACTTTGTGGAGTAGATTTATTGTTTTCAGTGTCCAAGTTGGTTCCCGATTGAAAGCTATGTGAGTTTATAAGTCCTACATGTCTCAGGTATGAATTCTCACTGATAGTTCGACGTGGTGCATTCATCACACGCTCAACAATCACAATTGGTATGCTTGAAGGATCTCCAAATATATGCATGTCTTGAATTGACCGGTTGTTAATCTGCAAAAATATAATCCATTTATAGGCCATATGTAAATGAAAAGAGAAACTAGAGGTCTATGAGTTGATAGTTACCCTCATTTGTGCAATGCTCCTTCGATGAAGTTCTGCTCGTGTAGCAGCAGCCTGATGAGGCTGTACGATTTAAGGCCAAAAGAAAATCATACTTTTAGTTATTTACATTAAAATTATTTTTAACAAGTTCTTTCTTCACAAAACCACTTTCCCGATATTAAGAATACAATGGAACAGACAAGTACTTACTTCATCAGATAATTTCCACAAACTGGAAACTCTTCTGTGACGATTGAAAGACTCATCAGCCCCACTATTTATATAATGATGAGGCATCTCTACCTTAGAGTACACCATCCATATTGACCACTCAACTTTCCGATCCTTGGCCCATGTATCACGCAAAAATTCTAGAATCTTTGTTTTGTTATCCCTAGAAACAAGAATATTATAGCTGATCAAACAATTTAAGGCAATGTTTCGTGATATGTACTCATGCATGGGTAATGAAGAAGGCAACAAACTATAATTGTCACAGTTAACTGGAACATTCTTATGTTATATGCACGTCAGCATTTGAAACATTTATTGTGGGTTTCTATGCAAAAATATCATCTGCAACAATGAGAGGAACAGAAGCTAATGATGTCAATTATTTACCCTAAGAAAATTTTCCATAATAGACCAAATAGGCAATTCAAATCAAATTATATATGTTTTCTCATCAAAAGGTACGTGCATATAAGCACACACACACAAGAAAAAAAAAATAGACCTCTTAAACCAACTATTGAATCAGATTCACACATAAAATACAGAGAAACACACAGGCACACATTTTTGGTTAATTTTGATGATACATGATAAGCAAACCTGTGGAACTTCAGAAATATGTTCCATAAATACAACAATTGATTTCCCACTGAATGATAACAGTCCAACAGCTCTCTCTTTGACATGGAACGAAACTTTTCAGCATTCACAAAATCTAGAGCACTACTTCCTCCCTGTACAGGAATAGACCATTTAATTTATATAACTCTAAAGAATGATATGAAAGGTAAAATAAAACAGCAATATTTTTCAGGGTGAATACAAGTTATGGACCTCAAGACCATTTCGTGGCTTTCGTTGACCTGAAATTTCAGCACCTGTTGTAAACTGATTAGCTTGCAGAACAGAATTTATTAACTTCATATTTTCCCTTTTTGACACAAACTCTGAAACATCAATAGCTTGATCAACTGCCCTGCTAAATTTTTGAAGTTCTTCAAGTAATATATCATGAGCTGTTAATAATGCTTTAACAACCATGATATTTTTCAACTTTGTAACGTCACTCAAACCCTGGTTAGTCACATAAAGCACTCAGTTAATGTCCAAAAAATAGAACTAAACCAATAAAACAAATATATAAACAAGAATCTGATCCCTGATTACTATAATACAAAAACAAACATTTAGCGTACTTCCTACATAAACATCTTTTAAATGATTTTCATCCCATTTTAGGAGCTGACAGAAAGCATTTAAGTAGAGCCTGGAAGCCATAGCAAGAAGTGGGTTTCATTATCATCATATTCTTTATTTTCCACTCAACTCTATATAGCTATATTTTGGGCATAGAACTGTTTCATATGAAATGTGTAATTCTTTTTTTTTTTTTTACGATGGATTACTTAAACAGTAAAACTATTGTTGCATAAGCTAAATAGCATATGCATGGTACAGATTGAGATAATGCACAAGGTAGAACTTGGTAAAGTCATGAAAAAGCACACAACACAAATGTGCATATGCATAGGAGAGAATATATGCTAGAGCACCATGTGTATAAATCAAGCAAAGAAAACTAGCATGTCTTAGATAGTGGGTTTGAGCTTAACTTAATTCTACAAAACTGGATTGTAAGGTGAAAGTTATCCCCCACTTATATATTCTTTAATTGTCTTATCTCTAGTCAATGTGAGAGTAAGACTGGATTTTTCAAAATACATTCCCCTCATGCCCAACACTAATAGGCTTGGTACGTGGATAAATAGTGGATAGTCTTTTTAAAGTAGATCTAGATATAGTTCTAATACCATCTTAGATAGTAGGTTTGCCCCTAACTCAACCCTACAAAATTGATTTGTAAGGTGTTGTAAATAAAAATATCTTAGGAGATTTGATATAATCTTTTCTTATTTCTTCTATATTTGTTTATTTTCATAGTTACTTGTTTTAGGGACAAATGTATCTTTATAATAGGGTAAGAGAAGAATGTAATTAGTATGATACAAATTAATAATATTCTCTCTTTCAACCTGGTATCAAAGCTCCTAATCTTGGGAACTCGGTTTCTGCTGCCCTAAACATAAAAACAATCCAAGACGCTACCACCCTCACTGTTGTCTCCATCGTTGAAACCAATTGTGAGCAAAAAAGGAGCGCTCATCATTAGCAATCTCAACGTTGCGAGTCACATGATCAAAGTCCTCCTCACATGCCACCACGCGCCACCACAGTACGCCCCTTTTTCCGATGCATGTAGGTCGCACACCCATCTCCAACAAGATCCACTCGCCAATGACCACCCAGAAAGGTTCACCGGTGACCCCCCTAACCCATTCCAAGGGGTGGTATTGTCCAGATCTGAGTTCTCTGTCTCTCTCTCGTTTATATTTGAGTTCATTCATGAATGATGCAAATCCCATCTCTTTCAACTAGAATGGGATATTAGAGCATGTAAGGTAGAGATTGATGCTCTAAAAATGATGATTGAATCTATGAGTAAGCCCTATGACTCATGTACTTTATCCATGAAGGGTAAGAGTACTTTCAATACTTTTGGCTTCGTTTCTCAGGGAGTTTGGATTCTTGATTCTGGAGCAGCAGATCATATGACTCCCTTTCCTTCACTCTTTGCATCATATTCCAAAACAAACACCAAACAATTCATTACAATTGCTAATGGAAATAATGTGTCCATTATTGACTCTGGCAACATTCAACTTGAACCCTCTATTTTCTTACATAATGTCTTACATGTCCCAAAATTGGCTAACAATCTCATCTCTATACAAAAACTCATTACAGACTTGAATTGTTCAGTAACATTCTTTCATTCTCATTGTTCCTTTCAGGACCTAGCCATGGGGAAGACAATTTTAATTGCTAAAGAGCAAGGTGAGTTAACTTCCTAGAGCAAAAAGGGAATGGTGATAAGAACATGGAATCAACCTTAAGTCACCATGCGAAGACTGATACTTGGGTCACCTCTAAAATATTAGTCTTATTAAATCTTTGTTTCAACATTTCTTCACAAAAGTTTTTGTTGAATCATTTAATTGTGATGTTTGCTAGTTGTCCAAACACCATCGTTCTTCTTTTCCAATTAGTGGTAATACGAGTTCTTTCCATTTGATTTAATACACTCTGATGTGTGGGATCCTATTGTGAAATCTATCATTGGTGCTAAATGGTTTGTGACATTTATTGATGATTGTACACCGGTAACATGAACATATTTAATGAAAAACAAATCTGAGGTTGGTCAAATATTTGTCAACTTCTTCCATCTTGTTAAAAATCAATTTGGTAAGTCCATAAAAAGAATAAGATCGGATAATGATACAAAATATGTGAATCATGAGTTGTCTAAATATGTCATTGATAATGGTATTGTACATGAACTTACGTATGTTAATACCCCTCAACAAAATGGGGTTGCAGAAAGGAAAAATTGTCATCTCCTAGAAGTCACCAGAGTCTTACTCTTTCAAATGTTTATTCCTAACACTTTCTGGGGAGAAGTCGTCCCAACCTCCACCTATCTCATAAACAGGTTACCCACTTGAGTCCTTAAAGGTGTTAGTCCTATTGAATTGTTACAATCATTGGTTCCTTCTTCTTCATTGATGTCAAGTTTATCTTGTCATGTTTTTTGTTGTGTTGCTTTTGTCCATTCACATTGTCCTCATAGAGGTAAATAAGACCCGAGGGCAATCAAATGTGTCCTTGTTGGTTACCCTTCAATTAAAAAGGAGTACAAATGTTATCATCCTCAGAGTCGTAAATTTTTTGTCTCCGTGGATGTTACCTTCAATGAAAATGAGCCCTTTGTCTGTCCTCGGCTCAAGAGGGAAAAAGATTTAGAACCTGAAGATGAATCTTTCTTAGAGTTATTACCATTTTTGTCTCTACAAGATGTCCAAAATGAAGAGGAGGATAAGTTTTTTGGCGTAAAATATCAAAGGAAGAAAAAACCCACCTTAGTTCCACAGCAAGAGAAATCGTCTGACTCTGAGATAAGTGATCCTAAAGATAATTTGGAGGAAGTAAGTGTTAAAGGTTATTAGTAAGGTCATACAGCGGATGGCGGCAAGGACCTTTAAGTGCCATACTGCCATGGTGTACGCCATGGCAGTCTATGGCAGACAAAAAAAGAAAAAAAAAAAATATATATATATATATATACATAAAATATGATGTAAAAAAAGAAAAATAACAAACACATACATTAAAACCAACAATATAACAATCTAAAATCATGGCATTCATAACCTAGTGATAGTCATCATAAAAAAAACATAAATTTCTAACCAACAAAAGGATTAAATAGCCATCAAAACAAAGATACAATATTAAAAAATAGCAAAACACAAACCTAAAACTATTTTGGAGGAGGAGGAAAAGGATTGGTCGTGCACAGAGGAGAGCAGCAGTCACGCATAGCAACGGTCGTGCACGGAGGAAGAAGATGCAATCGTGCAGAGGGAAAAAGTAAGAATCGCGCTAAGAGAAGAATCGTGCGTGCAAGGGAGAACTGGAGAAGAAAATCGCGTCAGACGCGACGGTGGCAGCCGCGTCGAAGGTGAAGGTGGTGGCCGCGTCGGAGGTGACGGTGGCGGCCACATTGGAGGATACGGTGGTGGAGGGTCTCGTCGGAGCAGGTGCATGTACGAAGGATAGGGCTACGCGAATTAGGATTCTGCAGCAACCCTATTTTGCACAATTAAGCTAATGGGCCGCCCAACCCAATAAAGAAACTAGGGCCCAAACCGGAAAAAACAAAAAAAAAAGGGCCATAACGGCACCATGACCGCCTTGGAGTACCATGCCATTACCGTGCCGCCATTTGCAAAATGGCAGATCCCCGCCATACACAGGCCAAACGGCCATAACGGATCACGACGCCATAACAGCCATTTGATAACACTAAGTGTTAATGATGATACTCATATCCCTATTGCTTTGAGGAAAGGGAAAAGATCTTGTGTTAAATATCCTATTTTATAGTATGCCTATATTAACCACTTGTCTGCTCAACATCGAAGTTTTACAGTTTCCACTGATTCAGTGGATATCCCAACTTCAGTCCAAGAAGCTATGAGAGAAGAACACTGGATACTAGCCATGAAAGAAGAAATGAAGGCATTGGAAAATAACTCAACATGAGAGATTGTACATAGACCTAAAGACAAGAAAGTTGTAGGATGCAAATGGATATTCACAATAAAGCACAGAGTTGATGGAACAGTAGAAAGATACAAAGCAAGATTGGTAGCAAAGGGGTATACACAGACTTGTGAAATAGACTATGAGGAGATATTTGCACCAGTGGCAAAAAGATGAATACAGTACGAGTTATACTTTCCCTTACAGCTCATTTTGGTTGGGACTTACAACAATTTGATGTAAAGAATGTTTTCCTACATGGAGATTTAGAAGAAGTGCCTTGTATGGACTCAAGTAATCTCCATGAGCAAGGTTTGGGAGACTTACCCAGACAATGATTTCTTTGGGATACAAAGTCAAGGGGATCATACGTTATTTATAAAACATTCTCCTAATGGTAAACTTACAATACTTTTAGTCTATGTAGACAACATGATCCTTGTAGGTGATGATGAAGAAGAAAAATTGACCCTAAAGAAGAAATTGACAACACAGTTTGAGATGAAAGACTTGGGAAAATTAAAGTATTTCTTGGGAATTGAAGTTGCTTGTTCCAAGAAGGACATATTTATCTCTCAAATAAAATATATCTTTGATCTTCTTAAAGAAAAAGAAAAGTTGGGATGCAAGACCTTAGGAGTTCCAATTGAACGAAATCACATAATTGAAAGTGAAGAAAGTCCACTAGTGAAAAATACCAACATCAAAAATTGGTAGGGAAACTAATTTACTTATCACACACTAGACCAGACATTGCTTATGCTATGAATGTTGTTAGTCAATCCATGCATGAACCCCATGAAAGGCATATGCAGGCAATTGATATGAGTACAAGGAAGGGATTACTATTCAAAAGAGGAGACACCATGTCTATGAAAATATATACTGATGCAAACTACACAGGGTCAGTCACAGATAAGAGATCTACTTCTAGATATTCTTGATGACCTTAGAATTCAAATTGAGCTACCTATGAAGTTGTTTTTCGACAACAAGTTAGCCATCAACATTGCTCATAATCTAGTTCAACATAACAAGATGAAGCATATTGAGATAGATAGACACTTCATCAAAGACAAGTTGGACAATGGTCTTATTGTTACCGCTTATGTCCCTACAAGACTTCAAGTGGCAGATGTACTCACTAAGGGACTACCTACTAGTAGATTTCAAGAGTTAATAGGCGAGTTGGGAATGATTGATATTCATTTACCAACTTAAAGGGGAGTGTTGTAAATAAAAATATCTTAGGGGATTCGATATTATTTTAGGAGATTTGATATAATCTTTTCTTATTTATTTTATATTTGGTTATTTTCGTAGTTATATTTGTTTTAGAAACAAATGTATGTCTATAATAGGGTAAGAGAAGAATGTAATTAGTACGATACAAATTAATAATATTCTCTCTTTCAACTTAAGGTAAGGATTACTTCCCACTTATATACTCTTTAATTGTCTTATCTCTAGTCAATGTGAGACTTGGATTTTTCTCAATAACATAGAAGAATGAAAGATAGATTTGCAAGAAGCATTTCAAACAATGGAAAATTCACCATAACTACAACAGCAATTTCAAAAAAGAGACATAGTATAGAACATACTTGGTTCAGTGTGCCATAACTTGTATCAGCAACAAATTCAGCATTACGTGATTTGCTGAAACAAAGAATGCGAACAGGTTACTCCATGTAATTGAACAACATAAAACAAAGTTCTCATGAAATATATTCTTAAAACTTCTCAAAAGAAAAAAAAAAATTTAAAATCAAGGTCTAATTTATTCAAGATGAAAATTAGCTAATTTGACAAACCTGGGTACCTTCGATGCAGACTGGTGAGAGGCAGTTTTCAGTAAACTGACATGTACACTGACATCAACCAGCACTGCATGTAAAGCATCAAAATGTACAGGACAATACGAATGCAACCCTAAAAGAGCTTTAGGAGGAATTCGGAATTCGTGGATAGCAGCAGGGTAAGCATCCAAAGAAGATTGCAAGTCAGCACTGTAGATAGGTCACTCCAGTCAGTGTACAGATTTCACTAAGGAGAGATACATAAAAAAGAAACAAGCATGTGTTTTGGCTCCATGTTAATAACCCAAAGAATATGCTACTTTAATCACTCACCCATTTTCAAATGTGGGAGCGTACATAAGCTCAAACTTTAAAATTACAGCTGTTGTAGGTAAAACCTGCAATTAAGAACCACAAAACACGATTAAATAAGATAAGAATATTGAACTAAAGAGTAAGGTAGTCACAATTGCACTCTTGATTGTAGGGTTGGAAACGGTCCTCCAGCTATAGTGAATTAATGATCCTGTTCCTGCTTCAGAACGTGATCTGATAGGATCTGGATGGATCACACTGGAATTGTGTTCAGACTAGTAAAATCACACACTCAAGCATTTCCAGCATTATTAGTCTCTATTAACTCCACCAAGGCCAGGTTGGTGGGTGGGGCAGATTATTAAACGCTTGACAGCCAAGACTTTCTGGCATGAACCAACAATCCCGAAAATTTAAACTTTTAGGTGAAGAAATGTGAATGGTTCAATATTACATCTCCAAGATGCCCCATCACACAAGTGCCCTTCGAGAAAAAGAATGAACAATGCACAAACCCACCTTCGTTTTGGTCAAATATAACTTTTCTACTAGAAGAATAAGGGGCGACAGGGATTAAACTATAAAAACACATTTGATCATATAGGCTTCAATACCATGCCACAAACTTACAATCCCAAAAGCTTAAGTTGTTGGATAAAGACATAAATGGTTTCATATTACATCACTAATACTAACTGACCCAAACTTAAATGAAAGTTGTACTGTGTTCTGAGAACAAGTTTCACATAAACTCAAACCTGATTTAACCTATCCTGTCCATTCAAACATTCACTTTTCCTTCCTATGGAAGTGGTGCTCAACCTAGATCAGTGGAGCTATGCAACTTCAGCACTGCAATGAATTACAATTGAGCATCAGCTTTTTAACTTCGGATCTTAGTATTATGATGACTCTGTTCAGGGCTGTTTGCCTGTGATTTGGAGAGTGTTGGGGTTTTGAGAGTCCCCAGATAAAGAGAAAGGAATAGCAAAAGACATACACAATATGCTAATTTATTAGAAAGGGTTAAGTAATCTTTAGTTTTGGCTATTTGTCCAATGACAGTAAACAATGTAGGGTTTGTTTGGCTTGCAGTTGAAAAATTGCAAACATTCAACAGAAAGACAAAAACTGACTTCTGAGTTTGGTGCATTGAAAAGTGTGAACTCCTATTTGTGTCACTGCAAACAGGATCCAAAAACACAGCCATAATAAACTCATAACCATGTTGGTTGTTTTGGATGTTGAATTTGAAAACATTGTTGTCAAATACATAAAACAAATCATTATTTGTCTTCACCTAGCAACTTAAACTTTTGTGAGTTAGTCCATGATTAATAGGTCAAGGATTCCATCCTTGCAGGCCCTAAGATTAAAATCGATGTCTAGAATAAGGTGGAGATGGATTGTGCATTATCCATGCTTAAAGCCCAAAGGGCTCTTGTGTAAGGGGACATTCTAGACATATAAAACTAACCATGAGCCTTCACCTAATAAATTAAGCTTTTGGGAGAGTTGTTCCTTGCCAAATTCAAAAGGATAGACACATGATCCTTCCTTTATGTCCAATTCTGCTATTGCTTTGGTCATGTCTGGATTCAACTTGTGTGCTCATCATAGTAGTTTAGGGAAAATTTTGGTTCAAAAATGTCACCATTACTTAGTTAATCAATTTGAATCATGCTACTCAATCAACTGTCATTGTGAATAGGAACTCAATCAACCCTAGTTAGCAAGTATAATGGTTGTAGCAAAGAAAAGAGAAATACAGTAGCCACAGCTATTAAACCTCAAACGTAAATCACTATGGCCAGATTAAACCTGTTAAAATATTACATGTCCACACATCAATTAATTTGTAACTGAATGGTTCATTAAAGGTCTTGTGTTGTCAAGATCACTACATGCTTGTGTCTCTGCATGTGCACATGTGATGGACTGTATAAACAATTTATGGGAAATTAGATTTCAACCTTGTTAACAGTGTGGTATGACCTAGGAAATGTTCCCAATAGATAACTTGGCACCCAATATCAATATTGGCATACCATAACATTTCCTTTCCCCTCGATATGACGATACCCTCTAGAAAGAGAAGAAATGAGAGAAAGATAATTACCTCAAATCTACTAAGGGATAAGTTAAACGAGATCATCATACATAAATGAATGTCCTGCCTAGCATATTTTATCCGAAAGGGTTGCGTTGAGAAACTGTTGTCTGTGTTATCAATCCTCCAAATTCCATATATACTGCTCGGACCCAGATCATGAGCTGGCAAATCAGAATTTTCTACCATATCAGTTATTATTGATTCAGCATATACGACATAGTTTCTACAAAAATTTTCAATATGAAGAAATATGTAGATGCACAGAGAAACATAAAAGTGTAGACTTTAGGTTCAAGAATAAAAAACCAAATACCACAATCTCATGACTGGCCAAGAAATGTCCTTGACAAACATGTCCATATTTATGGTGCCATTAGTTAGAAATTAAATAGGATTAATAGGTCACTGAAGAAGGTAAACAAAGTTCCAATCCAAGCATCAATTTTTCCCTATAGTTAAACACTATTAGGCATTACAAACAAAACGATACCACTTCACAAAAAATGATACTTTACAAACATATTGGAAACCAATCTTTTCAGCACAGCATATTATTCATATGACAGAAGAACCCACCACCAAGAAATTGTAACCACCACAAATAAAGGCCGGTAAATATGTAAAACATCTAAAACACACTGATATTAGTCCACGAGTATGTTTGGGCCAGCTTAATTTTAACTTAACTTCTACTTATAAGTAAAGGTTGGACCAAAAACTTATTAATAAATGCCCTTAAAAAGTGTAGCATAACTTTTATGAACAAATAAAAAGTAGCTTATAGAAAAGCTAGTACATGTAGCTTATATGGAACTTTCATGGAGCTTTGTTTAAAATATCCACTTTACAAATCCTCACATAGTACTTTTAGGGTGTTGCTCCTTGCTATATTTTTTCCCTTTGATTTTATTTTTCACTTTACACTGCAGGTGCTTAGTTGAATTCACTGGGAGAATCTGAAAATGGTCACTCACATCCTGCTCTCCATCACCATGAGTCAGGTAAGGTTTTTTATCGTAGTCTCTGCTCTTTTCCTGTATCCTAGTGATGGAATCATGCCTAGGGAGGCAAGAGATGATACCTTGAAGGAGCCAAGAGAAATGGGCTAGGCATGAAGATTTGGGCCAGTCAAAGCCCAATGGGCCCAATGGGCTTGGAAGGCCCAAGTTGATCCTCACATGGGTCACATCTTGAGATATCCATTTTCTTATATTTTCTACATGTTATATTAACATAGGTTTCACATATTTTGGTCTTGTATTTTGGACCACATAGAGTAGCATTTTTGGGCCATAGACTTATTGGGCCTAGTTTTGGGCTTCATGGGCCTTTGGACTTTTGGTACCCAATATGGGGCTCATTTTGATTCTTGTAATTTTTCCTTTCCATTGTATTTGGTTGGCCATTGTATTTAGGCCATTAGCATAGGAATATGGAAGGATTACTTAAATAGACTAATTAGGCAAAACTAGGTTTAATTTGAAAGTCATTTAAGTTGCATTTGAGTCACATGTTTTTCACCATGAGTGGCTGAACATGTGCACACTCAAATCAACCCTAAATGCTTGCCAAATTAAACTTAGATGCATGTAAGCACCAAGATTCACGGCCAAGCACATGTGGGCTGAAAATTTGAATTCAGATTCAAATTTGAATTCAAATCTAGGCGCCAAATGTGAGGCTTGAATGTTGGCGCCACTTTGCTCCATTTTCGTGCCTATTTAAGCTTCTTCTTTCATTCTTGTAATCACTTTGAATCATAATAGAGATTTCTGAAAATTCATTCAGCCAAGTCACTCTCAAAGTCTCTCTCAAAAGCTCATAGCCTTAGCCTTAGGAATCCTAAATTCTAAGCTTAGTCCGTGGGCTTTCCTTTGAGTTTCTAGCTAGGATACTTCCATCTTAGCTTAGGAATTCAGCCTTTCTTGTTCTCAAGTCCTATCTCAATCCGGAATCATTGTTCAAGGAAGAAGATCCGTGTTAGTGGAGAAGGAAAAGGAAGATCAGGCTTCACTTCACTTACCTCCTCCCATCACCTAGTCTCTGCTCTATCCCATTATAACAGATTACATGAGGTAGGCATAACTCTATCCATTATAACATAGTAAAATAAATGTACGAAAATAACATCCATAGGGTAACAATCACCCTAAATAAAAGCCCATATGTTCACATTCCTTAAAAATACTATCTAACAACAATATAGAATAACTTAAACATTTTATCATTTGTAAACAATATTTAAATTTCTTCAATTAATATTATATATATTATATGCAAACTAGCAGGGTCGAGGCACTTTGTGTCTATATATATGACATAAACATACTTGTTTATAAACTATAAGTTACAATTTATTTAAGATAGATTGTGAGACAGTTATAATTTTATGCATAAAAAAATGTTATTTTTTTTGCACTAGTAGTTCCATTAAGGTGAAAAACCACATTGTATCATGTGTGTAGTGGAGGTTGGTAAATGGTTGGGGGAAGTTGTGGAGTAATTTAATATTAATTAATCAATTATTAAATTAATATAATAAATAAAAGTTAATAAATTGTCCTTTACTGATAAAAGAAAACATAAAAAATAATGCGATAAAAAGGGTAAAAAAGACATAACAAAATGTGTACACAAAAACATCGTATTGGCTTTATTTATTGTTATAGATAAGTAACTAGGAATTCAATATTTCAAAATTAATGTCTAATTCTACATTAATAGAAAAAGAATGGTTTTTTATGGCCATTAAATTCATTTTAGTTATATTAATTATATATGAATAAATGGATTGTTTATTTAAACAAAAAAAAATGAAAGAAAAAGAAAAGTCCAACCCAAATAATAATAGAATTCCTTTTTTTTTTCTTTAACCTTATTAACTAAAAAAGGTTAAAGAAAAAAAGCGTCCATTGTCTAATGGATAGGATAGAGGTCTTTTAAACCTTCTGTATAGGTTCAAATCCTATTGGACACAAATTTGATATTTGGTCTATGTACCAGAACGGATAACATTTGTGATTATGCATGATTATATACGAAAGATTCGTTTTTGGTTGTCTTTAGCCCTATTATGTCTCTTATCCTTAAGATTTAAAGTTTAAGGTTTAGGATTTAGATAGTAAACACTGGGTAGCCAGGTGCAAAGCTGATAACTGTTGAAAGCATCAAAGTAGTGAACTCATCCCAACATGAGTACTCTCCTATTCCGACTTCCCCAAAGCCTCCAGTAACATAATCAAGACAACAATGAGTTTTTTGCCCCAGGTTAAGGGTGACCATCAGGGCCGTAGCGAAAGCGAGTCTTCATAGGGCAATTGTCACTTCTTATGAACCCTGAGTGATCTATCCATGACCTTGGGTGAAACTAAATGGAGGTTCGAACCAACTGATGTTGAAAAATCAACAGAGGAGTTGTGGTTGGGGTGAAATGTCACTCAAACCCAGAGCTAGCTAGTTCTCCCTGAAATGCTATGCATATTTCTAGACAAAGCAATTACAATAAGACCTGTTGAAACACTTATTGGTTCAGGAAAAGGATCTCTCAAATATTGGGTAGCTGGGGCTCCCATAAAATATAGTGAGAAAGGCTATTTCAATAACATCATTCAAGATGCCTATACAACATACTCGATTCATTATCTCAAGATAATAAATTAGAACCAAAGGAAAGAGGTCTTTAGGATGAAAACAAAACTAACCCCATGTATGAAATACTTATTATGAAAAGAGAAATAAAATAGAATTGTGAACTCAACTTCGAAGGAAGGAATTTGCAATCATTAAAATAAAATTTTATTGATTAATGTAATTTTTAACAAGTTTAAAAATTATAAGCTTTATATATCTATATTTTAATAATTTTATTGTCATGAAAATGATTTTATGTAGATTAAATTAATTTTACACTATATTTTACAAATATACTGTTCATTCGAGAAGATAATTAGAACTTTTAAATTTTTACCAAACAACTTTTAGCTTAAAAGTAACTTTTAAGCTAAAACAAAATGAAAAATTGACAATCAGCTTTTACTTTTTTTTAAGTTCTTATTTTCACTTTAACTTGAAAGTAACTTATAAGTACAAAACAGAAAAGTTGGGCCAAAGAGACTCCAAGACTAAGGAGTATGAGTACAAGCAATAAACAAAATAAAAATAAAAAATCCAAACAATAATATATGACATCAAAGACAACGACTTCAATGACTGTATTGACAGCACAATTACACTACTTATATGCTGGTTAAATAATTGGCAAATTTTATTTGAATATGTGGCTGAGTACTATAAGATTCGTAACCAGTTTCCTGAAGCGCATGAGTAATATAGAGCATAATTTTGACGTATTACCTTCATATTGAACAACTCTAGCTGGGATTCCAAAAGATATATTTTCATCATCCTCCCATCGCATAGTAATTTTAATCTGATACCATCTATATAACAAAAAATATGCATGTCAATTAGATAACCAAGTAAAATTCATAACAAAAACTGGAAAGTAAAAAAATAGAAATTGATGTATACCCCTGCTGAAAAAGGTCAAGATTGTGAAATCTATGAATGTAGATGGCAATCTCCTGTACAGCTTCCAACATAGCCACTGCCCTGACCTTGAAAGAGTGAGGCAT